AAAAAAAAAAAAAAAAATCCTCTGTCCAAAATATTATTACCCAAGCCAGGAATGACCTTTCTCTCTTAAATAAATTGAAATCTTAATCTGCATGTCTTAGCTCAAATGCTGCATCTTCCAAGACACTTTTCTCTAATAATCTCAAAAATATAAATAATACGGTATCCATACTCTGGACATTGTTAAAAAGAATGAGGAACACCTAAATGTACTGAGATGGAAAATCTCAGACATACAAAGTGAAAATTAGCCAAGGAATACATAATGATTCCATTTCTATGTTTAGAGAAAAAAAGAGGTGACCATGCCATTTCCTTGCTTAAAATCCTTCAGGGGTTCCCCACTGCCAACCATGTGAAGTCTGAGCTCCTTACCTGATATCCATGCTCCTTCCTTATTTGGGCTCTGCCAGCCTCTGTGGCCTCATCTCCTGCAGACCAACCTTTTCATCGTGAGCCCTGGGTTCCAGCTGTGACTAATGTGCCCTCCACCATCTCTTCCTTTAGATCAGTGGTTCTCAAAGTTTAGCATGCATCAGAATCACCTGGAATGCTTGTTAAACTACAGATTGCTAGCTGCATCTGTAGAATTTCTGATTCAGGTCTAGATTGAGCCTAACAATTTCTATTTTCTATCAAGTTCCCAGGTGATACTGATGCTGCTGTTCTAAGAACCATACTTTGACAGTCAATGCCTTTACAATGATTCTGACTCAACTTCCTCACCTACATATAGGCTGACCAATCATTTTGGTTTGAGACTGCCCCAGTTTTGGCAATTAAAGTTTCAAGTCACAGAAAACTCCTTAGTTCCAAGCAAACTGGGACAGTTGGTTACCACCGGCATAAGAATCTCTCCCAGGTTGCAGCTTACAGGACATTTATTGCTACTGCCAAGCAGGCCTTCCCTATGGCCAGGCAACAGAGTGCTGAGGAAGGAATTCCATCATCCTGACTGACTTTTTGCTGGAGTATTTAACAAAGTTTTGCATATTCAGGCACTTCCAAACATATTTTCTTTATTTCCTCCAGAAAACAGGCTTTAGTACTGAGGTCCCGTAAACATTTAACACAATTGGTTTGAGAACAAACTAGAAGCATCTATATCCTTGCCCTGTGTTGGTTGCTGGGGTGAGTTTATACAAGGAGAAGTTGGGACAAATGCAGTGGGCACAGGTGAGCTTCTTACTCAGTTCAAAGTAGGTCCTGGGATGAGTTCCATACAGCCAGTATAGCTGACTTTCTGTGATTTCCAAGGGGTGCCCAAGACATTAGGACTGATGATGTTTCTGCTCACTGTTGATCAGGGTCAAACCTTTTCACTAACTGGGACTGCTCTTTCCAAGAGTTCAGAGGTCAGAAAGCTGGTAGCGTCGTACAAGACTGTCTCGACAGCATGAGTAGATCTGTTTCTCCCATGTGGCTACCTAGAACACAAGAATTCACAGTTCAAAGGAAGCCTGAGATTATTCCATTTCAAAAGATGCAGGCTTATGATTGATACACACTAGTTCCAGGGAGTTTGAGAAGACTTTATGAAGGCAACAGAATTACATCCATGATTACAAAAATCTCTGGCCCATAGTGATGGGTGCATCCCAACCATTGAGATCCACCCATGACTGCAGAACAGACAAACTAACTGGCCCAAGTGGAAAGCAAGCCTTTTAGTGTTGTATACATTTAGCACAGATGGTCTACCTCTGGGGAGGAGATGGTTCATAGATGGGCTTGGCTGTTCTTGAACCTTATAAAATTCGATGCAAAAAAGTTCTGAAATATGTGCCTTTTTTTCTGAAGAGGATTTCATCAACTTCTCAAGGAAAACAGCATGAATTCTGGAGTTAATCTCAGCTTTACTACCAGCTAGATGCATGACCTAGGGCAACTTTCTCAGCCCCTCTGGACCCCAGTTTCCTCATTTGTACAATGGAAATATGTTGATTCAAAATAAAGAACACTACACAAGAAGTTTAAAAAATGAAATATATCTTTATGCATTTACCAGGAATTAGCTCTAAGATGGTAAGTTAAAAAAAAATTTCACGGCCAGGAGCAATGGCTCACGCCTGTAATCACAGCACTTTGGGAGGCCAAGGCGGGTGGATCATGAGGTCAGGAGTTCGAGACCAGCCTGGCCAAGATGTTGAAACCCCATCTCTATTAAAAATACAAAAATTAGCTGGGCGCGGTGGCACATGCCTGGAATCCCAGCTACTCAGGAGGCTGAGGCAGGAGAATCGCTTGAACCTGGGAGGCAGAGGTTGTAGTGAGCCGAGATCGCGCCATTGTACTCTAGCCTGGGTGACAGAGTGAGACTCCATCTCAAAAAAAAAGAAAAAAAGAAAAAAAAATTTCACGGGGCAATATATAGAGAATAGTCTCAATTATGTACAGGCTGAATATAAAAGTATCTTATTTACTTTAATAAAGATTAAGTCTGCAAATTCTCTGAAAATAGTCTTGAAAAATATATGCCAAACTATTAACACTAGTTACTTTTGGAAAAAAGGAAGAGAACCAAAAAGATCATAAAGGAGACTTTTAAATGTGTATAATTCTGTATGGTTTCAACTTTTATAGATATTAACTGTACAACTTTTTAAAAATTGTAGGAAAAAATAGGAATAGTAATACCTACACTTCAAGCCGGGTGCAGTGGCTCACACCTGTAATCTCAGCACTTTGGGAGGCCGAGGCAGGTGGATTACCTGAGGTCGGGAGTTCAAGACCAGCCTGACCAACATGGTGAAACCCTGCCTCTAAAAAAGAAAAAAAGTAATACCTACACTTCAACAAACAGTAACAAAGATTAGATAATATCTATAAAACGTTCACCACAATGTCTGGTCAATAAATATTTCCCTTTTTTCTCTTTCTAAACAAAGGAAAAATCAGTCAACAAGTTTTAATAATAATAATGAATAATACTTATAGAATATATTTATTTACAAAGAGCTTTTATATTACGAACTTCATTTTATGGATGAATTGACAGGCTAGTGAGGTGAAGTAAGTTTTTAAGTTTATGGAGCTAGTAACTGATGAAGTCATTTTTTTTTTTTTTTTTGAGACAGGGTCTCACTCTGTCACCTAGGCTGGTGTGCACCATCACAGCTCACTGCAGCCTCAACTTTCCAGGCCCAAGCAATTATCCCCTCTCAGCGTCCTGAATGAGTAGCTGGGACTACAGGTGTGTGCACCACCATCCCTAGCTAATTTTTCTGTATTTCTTGTAGAGACAGGGGTCTCATCTTATTGCCCAGGCTGGTTCTGAACTCCTGGGTTCAAGTAGTTGAACCTGCCTCAGCCTCCCAAAGTGCTGGGATTATAGCTGTCAATCAGTTCTTTTCGTTTTTTGAGATGGGGTCTCACTCTGTTGCCCAGGTTGGAGTGTAGTGGCATGATCTCAGCTTACTGCAGCCTCCGCCTCCCAGATTCAAGCGATTCTCTTTCCTCAGCCTTCCAAGTAGCTGGGACTACAAGCATGTGCCACCACACCCAGCTAATTTTTTTGTATTTTTAGTAGAGACGGGGTTTCACCATGCTGGCTAGGCTGGTCTTGAACTCCCTACCTCAAGTGATCTGCCCGACCTCCCAAAGTGCTAGGATTACAGATCTGAGCCACTGTGCCTGGCCCAGAAGTCACTTCTGACTCAAGCTCTTGATGTCTTCCCCTCCCACCACGTTGCTTAAACAATATGCACTATTTTATCATCGCTAATGACCACAAGGTAGCTGGATACAGTTTTATAAAAGCCCTAGATCTCACATGAGAATCACCCAGGCCTGATCTCATCTCGAGCCTGTACCTTGTACACAGGGTCACAGTCAGCCCCAGTGAGCTCAATGACATAGTCTAAGTCCTGCTGGACAATAAAACAGCTTCCATCACCTAAAAGGCAGAAAGAAAATTCATATAAGAGAAAACTGCATCCAAAGAGTTTAAAGCTCAATATTTTTATTTGCTCCTGTAGAACACTAGCCTAAAGAAGATGGTTCAAAGACCCAGAATGGCAAATAGATCTTACCATGTGAGCCTATATATATTGTTTTCTTTTTTCTTTTTTTTTTTTTTCGGAGACAGAGTTTTGCTCTTGTTGCCCAGGCTGGCATGCAAAGGCGTGGTCTCAGTTCACTGCAACCTCCACGTCTGGGGTTCAAGCAATTCTCCTGCCTCAGCTTCCCAAGCAGCTGGGATTATGGGTGTCCGCTACCACACCCGACTAATTTTTATATTTTTAGTAGAGACAAGGTTTCACCATGTTGGCCAGGCTGGTCTCGAATTTCCGAACTCAGCTGATCTGCCCGCCTCAGCCTCCCAAGGTGCTGGGATTACAAGCGTGAACCATCGTGCCCTGCCTATGTGGGCCAATTATGATGACCTATAGTGGCTGCCTAGAATGCTGAGCTGGGCGGATTTGAAGAGTAAGTGTGAGTTCTGTGGGAAGAAGGGATGTCTTTGATTAGCAATGCCATTCAAAGGCACAGAGCAAGCAACCACAAGTGTGGGGGTATGTGTGTATATATATATATATTTGCAAACTTATCCTAGATTATTATTTGTAATAGGGAATGTCTAATGGCCTACAGGTGGGACACAGGAGGGGAGAAATATCGAGGCCCTGGGAGGCCTACCTGCTGGTTCTTGATGGGCACATCAAGAAGGTACTTTAGAGGTGCCACTGAGACAACATAGGCTTTGGATGTGCTGCAGTATGGCTCTAAGTTTGAAGACCACATTCCTCTTGTAACAGAAAATCTCACTTTAAGCCAGAGTGGGAAACCCGCCATAATCTTTTATCAGCTTCTCACTGTTATTATGTCATTCAACAAGGAAAAGTGACATCTAGTATTGAGTTTTTTCCATCTCAGAACAGCATATGATTACTATAGCTTTTCTTCTGCACTCATAAGTTTCTATATACAAATGTTATCCACTAGATAAGCCCTGCTCTATTTCCATCATCTCCAGGAAGCTATTAATATTTGTCACCATCCTATATGGTGAATTCTTTCTCTATCCATCTCCTCTAATATTTAGTATTCCTTTGATACTTCAACATATCTTACCCTGTAAGATATGTTCTACTTTTGGTAGGTGTGTGTCTTATCATTAGAACATGAGGATAAGGAACACTTTTTAGGAGAGATTATCAGGGCATGGGGTGCTAGCAGGAGTAACAAGACATTAACATTTATAGAATGTCTGCCCTACGGCAGGTATTTTACATATTTTATCTCTAAGGAAACTCAAGCATAGAAAACTTATGACCAAGGTCACAGAGCAATTAGATTAAACCGTATATGTGTGACATTTTTATAAGTCAAAACTGGTCAAATATTAAGAATTTTGGTCGTCAAATATTAAGAATAAGGGTGCAGTGGTTCACACCTGTAATCCCAGCACTTTGGGAGGCCGAAGTGGGTGGATCACAAGGTCAGGAGTTCGAGACCAGCCTGACCAACATGATGAACCCCTGTCTCTACTAAAAATACACATACAAAAAAAATAGCCAGGTGTGGTGGTGGTACACCTATAGTCCCAGCTACTCTGGAGGCTGAGGCAGGAAAATCACTTGAACCCAGGAGGCAGAGGTTGCAGTGAGCCAAGACTGCACCACTGCACTCCATCCTAGGCAATAGAGGGAGACTCCATCTAAGAAAAAAAAATTTCACAGGGCTGAATCTAATAGTAAGTGAGAAAGTGAGGATTTAAACTAATTGGTTTGGTTGTCAGTTTAGGTTTAAATTCTATGTTCTTTCTACATCATACCGTTGCCCAATAAAATGAGGGCTAAGTACAAGGTCAGGGCTAGAGCTATGGATTCCCATCATTAACAGCTAAAACTATGTTAACAGTTGACATGCTATGCTAAAGAAGAAGCATGGACAAAGAAAAGGTAAAAGAACAAACAAAAGCTGAACTAGGAAATTTCTCCGGCTTAGGGAAGGCAACAATAAAAGGAATAGCAAAAGGATTCAAGTTCGAAAAACAATTTGAGAACTATGAATCATGCTAGGCACTTACAAACCTAAACTACTGAAACCCAGGAAAGGAGCAGTAACTGGAAAGAAAGAATAACCAGGAAATTAAATAGTGTCACAGAAGTGAAGAGACAAGAGTTTTAAGAAGAAATAATAGTGATAATTAACACTAAGAGTGATAAAAGATGAAGAATCTTTACTCATTCATTGAACAAGTATTTATGGAGATTCTTCAGACCTATGTAAAGCTAGGGATACAGAGATGAAGAAGAATGGTACCTGCCCTCAAGAAAACTTAGGGATTAGTGGATGAGACACTGAACCTAGCAAGAAGCACATCATTGGTGGCCTTTAAGAGGACAATATGAGTAGAGGGACAGGAATGGAGACTGAACTGCAGAGAGATCTACTGGGAGAGTGTGGTATGGCAGCAAAATTCCTCATTCCAGAAATCTGGTGCAGGGGGAAAATGAAATGGATCACATATGTGGTGGCAGCAGCATCAAGGGAGGGTGCCACAAGTGTTATGCCAGCTCTTCTCTTAGCAAGGTTCTGAAGCAGGGTACTGCTGCATCACCAAACTGATGCCAAGGCATGGGAAGAAGGAGAGATTGAGAGTATTGGCTGGTTGTCAGTTTATTATGGTCTAGAAATCCTGGAGGAGAAGGGCAGGGGAAATAAGGTACCAGTTTTAACTGGGACAAAGGCTACCTTCCTATGTTAGAGCAATGGCCATGGAAATCTGGACACTGTTGGCTGCCTACTCAACAACTATTTCCCTGCCCTTTTCCCAGCTAAAAGAATCCCAAATTGTTTCTACTAACAAGTGACCCAGGGGTTAATCTTGATTAGTGCAAGCCAATTACAGTAATTCCATTCTCCTTGCCAGAGTCTAAGGTGGGGGCATGTGGTATAATTCTGGCCAATGAGGTAAGTCTGCAAGTTTAGGGGCTGCTTCTGAGGAAATTTTCCTTCTTCTTAAAAAGGACAGAATATCCACTGTTACCTGAGAAAGACAACTGCTGCAACTATCTTGTACTGAGACCATAAGGGAACAAACTGGAGGACAAAAGCCAGCACGCTAGGGTGGAAAGAGCCAAAATGGAAAGGAAGCTAGATTCTTGGTTTTGTTTCTCTTTCCTTGCTAAAGCTTTTCTTTTTTAATTTTTTTTTTTTTTTTGAGACAGAGTCTCATTCTGTCGCCCAGGCTAGAGTGCAGTGGCTCTGTCTTGACTCACTGCAACCTCCATCTCCCTGGTTCAACAATTCTCCTGCCTCAGCCTCTCGAGTAGCTGGGATTATAGGTGTACACCATCACACAGAGCTAATTTTTGTATTTTTAGTAGAGATGAGGTTTCACCATGTTGGCTAGGCTGGTCTTTGAATGCCTAACCTCAGGTGATCCACCTACCTTGGCCTCCCAAAGTGCTGGGATTACAGGCGTCAGCACCGCACCCGACCTTATTTAAAAAAATTTTTTTTTTTTTTTAGATGGAGTCTCACTCTGTCACCTAGGCTGGAGTGCAATGATACAATCTCAGTTCACTGCAACCCCTGCCTCCCAGGCTGAAGCAATTCTCCTGCCTCAGCCTCCCGAGAAGCTGGGACTGCAGACGCATGCCACCATGCCCAGTTAATTTCTGTGTTTTTAGTAGAGACAGGGTTTCACCGTGTTGGCCAGGATGTTCTCAAACTCCTGACCACAAGTCATCCACCCATTTTGACCTCCCAAAGTGTTGGGATTACAGGTGTGAGCCACCACGCCACGCCCTCCACCCCCAGTCACTATCTTTTAAGACTTTTTTTTAAATTAAAAAAAGTATTTTTGAGACAGGGTCTCGCTTTGTCACCTAGGCTGTAATGCAGTGGCACAGTCATGGCTCACTGCAGCCTCAACCTCCTAGGCTCAAGTGATCCTCCCACCTCAGCCTACTGAGTAGCTGGGACCACAGAAATGAGCCACCACGCCTGGCTAATTTTTATTTTTTGTAGAGACAGGGTCTCCTATGTTGCCCAGGCTGGTCTCAAACTCCTGGGCTCAAGTGATCCTCCCACCTCAGCCTCCCAAAATGCTGGGATTACAGGCATGAGCCACCCTGCCCAGCCTATTTGCTTTTTAAATTAAAAAAAAAAAAAAAAAAAGCCGGGCGCGGTGGCTCAAGCCTGTAATCCCAGCACTTTGGAAGGCCGAGGCGGGTGGATCACGAGGTCAAGAGATCGAGACCATCCTGGTCAACATGGTGAAACCCCGTCTCTACTAAAAATACAAAACATTAGCTGGGCATGGTGGCGCGTGCCTGTAATCCCAGCTATTGAGGAGGTTGAGGCAGGAGAATTGCCTGAACCCAGGAGGCGGAGGTTGCGGTGAGCCGAGATCGCGCCATTGCACTCCAGCCTGGGTAACAAGAGTGAAACTCCGTCTCAAAAAAAAAAAAAAAAAAAAAAGGGGTAAAACATCTTATATTAACAGAAAAGTTAAAAGATTGTATAGAAAGTCCCCATATGCCCTTAGTCAGTTTCAGTTTTTCCCAAGTGTTATCTATCGTCTTACGCCTGTTAAAATAAAGATGCCAACCTTAACATCCTGGATCCAATCCAGAATACACTGACTTAGTTATCAAGTTTCCTTAGTCTCCTTGGTTGACTTTATTTTGAAATCATTAAATTATTATAATCAGAAACAAAATCTGGACTTCTTGTTAAGTGAAGCAGTATATTTTCCTATCTGTGTAAGCCATGTTCAGCTGGGTATTCTGTAAATAATAGCTCAAAACATCCTAGCTGATACACTGAAATGCTCAAGGTAGGTAGTCCGTCCAGGCTGTATACTCCAGTCCTCCTCATCTACATCATTCCTACAGGAATCCAGTGTCCCTTAATGTACACTTTGTTCCAGGCACTTCCCCAACACCATTCCTAAACTCCATTCCAAACAGTTTGTCCTGGCTATACCAAGGTACTCGCTTTACCTAGAATATGTATGTAAAGCATCAAACACAGTACCTATTGCATAGCAGGCCCTCAGGAAATGCTAGTGCCCTTCTTCTTTTGCCCCACTTCCCTCATCTATGACTTTGCAGACACAATCGCTTCAGCTTTCAGTGTCCATCTTTACATCTCCAGTGGGTGAAATCTTTATTGGCTTACTTGCCACCTAGTCCATGAAGACCTTGCTGACAGCACTCCTACCTCTAGAATTAGCTGTTCTCCATGTCCTCATGCAGTCTTCTGATGCAGTCCTTATCAAACTGGACTGCAATCATACAATCACTTCTGTCTGCCTTACTGTGAGCTCCTTTAGGGCAGAAGAGTGGTGGGCATTGAGCTAAATTCTGGGAATAACACAATGAATAAGGCAACTCATCACCCTCAAGGAGCTTGAACTGAAGGAAGACACAGACAATCACAACACAGAGTGACAAACACTATTGATAAGTACAATATGCCAAAGAATCATGGGGGACCATGCCCCAATGCTGCCATAGATCAGACCCTTAAAACTATGTTTAATTAACTGAACTACAGAGAAGCATCTCTCTCAATTGGCCCATGGACCCACCTTGGCTAGCAATGAATCCATCTCTGAAACTTAGCAGGGATAGGACTGGTGCTCCTGATCTGTGGATGATTTGTACTGGAGCCCTAGGATTCAGAAAGAGGGGAAATTTTACTTTCTTTCTTCAAAAGCAATACTTGACTATATTCAACATATAGTACTAACTATGTAAGAACAAACAGGATAAATGTGGAGAAAGATTAAACATTTCTATGGTTTCTCTCCTGGCAAGAACCTTAACTTGCAGATTAACGTAATTCATTTAAAACCATCCATGTCTCTACACATGAACTAAGTCAGCACCCAAATCCTGAGTTTTTTGGGCAGGTATGATATACATTGAAGAAAACAATATTAGCAGTATATTAACATTTTCACTTAATGAAAGAAGATTTGTTATAAAATATTAAAATTGTCAGGACTCTAAAAAGAAAAGGAATGCTGAGTGAGAATCAATTTAATATATGTGTAAGGGTGAT